ATCTTTCAGATTTTTGAAATTATCTTCTAGGACAGCCTACACATATTTTTCCATATTATATAGAAGGGAGTAAAAGGTAGTAATTCAGATTTTGAATAGAAATTGAGATGTACCTTAAAAACGCTTTCAGGATTAATCTACCTAACTTGATTCTAGATGTCATGTCTAGACAATTGGACTGAGGAGTGATTGCTGAAATATTTTAAGCAATAATCACTGAGTTTCATGTGATAAATTGTTAATACAGATATGTTTCCTTATCCAGGTTGTTTGAATATGGTATCTTAAGAAAATGGCATTTATACTATGAAGTGCTATTTATGATTGAATATGAAGATTTTATAAAAACATTTTAAATGACATGTTATCCTCTAATTTTGTGCTGTTATATTTTCACATGTTTCTTCCTTATAATGGGCTATAGATATTTATATTTATAGTATCAAGGAACTGTAGAAAACTGCTGCAGTATTTTCAAATGTATCAGAATTCCTTTTACAAGGCATCGATTTTCAGTAGGAACTGAAAGAATAGGGTGTTAAAGTACTAAAAGAAAAACAGATAAATAGTCATTTTATTTCTATAGCCTCTCATCTTAACCAATGACTCTGTGCTACTTAAAGTTCTAAAAATATAAAAACAATTAAACATTTAAACAATAAAAACATTCAAAATAAATATATACAGCAGCCAAGATAATTAACAAAGCTAAGAATGGGACCTGTAACACATTTGCAGCCCAAGGCTGAGATACAGATAGTCCTCGACTCACAACAATTCATTTAGTGACTGTTCAAAGTTACAATGGCATTGAAAAAAGTGACTTATGATCGTTTTTCACAGTTACAGTCTTTGGAGCATCCTCATGATCATGTGATCAAAAATTAAGATGGTTCACACTTACGAGCATTGCTGTATCCCAAGGTCATGCAATCACCTTTTGCAAACCTCTGATAAGTAAAGTCAGTGGGGAAGCCAGATTCACTTAACAACCAGGTTACTAACTTAACAATGTCAGTGATTCTCTTAACTGGGGCAAGAAAGGTCTTAAAATGGGGCAAAACTCATTTAACAAATGTCTCACTTAACAACAGAAATTTTGGGCTCAATTGTGGTCATAAGTCAAGGACTACCTATACATAGCCAAGTTTTTAAAGCCTTACAAAAGGTTAACAGGGTTGGGGCTATTCTAATTTCTAAAAGGAAAATATTCCACAGAACAGGGGCTACTGCAGAAAAGGCCCGTCTTCTATTCCTTGTCAGCTGACTTTCTTTGGCTGATGGGATTTGCAGCATGCCCAGGCAGCTAAATAGAATTGAACACATAGAGACTCTTGGAAAAAGATGGTCCCTCAGGTAACCTGGTCTCAAGCTATTTAAGACTTTAAAGGTGACCAGCATTTGAATTGTACCTAGAAATATATTGCTAGCCAATACAATTCTCATAACTGTGTTACATGTGCTGTATGTCCAGCACCATTTATTAATGTGGAGTTGCATTCTGAACCAACTGAAATTCTCAAGTGCTTTTCAGGGACAACCCTATATAGAGTACATTGCCGTAATCTAGGTGAGAGGTTATGTGGGCATAGGCGATAATGAACAAGGCCTCCTGGTCCAGGAATGGGTGCAACTGGTGCAGTACTGAAAGGTGTGCAAAGGTTCTCTTAACCACAATTGCCACCTGCTCTTCGAACAGGAGTTGTGAGTCAAGGAGGATCCCAGATTGCATATTAGGTCTGTCTGAATAGTAGCACCCATCTAGAACTAAGGAGTGAAGAACCTTGTCTCGGGAGGGTCCAAATACTACCACAGCCACCAGTTTTGCTAGGGTTAAGTCAGAACTTGTGTTGCCCATCAAGTTCCACTGGAATAGGATATCCACAGTTTCACTCAAGAGGGCCTGAGGTAGAGGTATAAAGCTGGGTGTCATCTGTATATTATGGCCAAACTAGCAGCTGAGAGAGCCCTATCCTCATGTTCCACATGCTCAAATTTCTCAAACTCCTCTTCCTCCTTGCAAGATGTAGCCCCCTCCACCTATACTGATTCTGTTTTAAGGCTGAAGTCTAATACAGAGCAAATGGGAGCCGCTTTGTCTGCCAGATGTACAGCATATTATTCACAGCAACCCTGTAGGTGAACTTTGGTATTCTTCTTCCAAGAAGGGACCAAGTTTCCTGTAACAGGGCTAGTGGGTGTGCTGCCCCGCTCACACACCCACACATAGCAGTATGTTAAAGGTTTTTATTGAGCGGCCTGAGCCCAAATATACAGTCCCCAGTACTTCCTGAATAACAAAAACCCTTCGAAGTCAGAATAACTCAGCCCTTCGAAGTCCCACCAGAGCTCTAAGGAGCCAGCAAGAGGAGCGGTCTCAACCTCTGAAGCCAGGCAGAAGCCAGAACAAAGGCACTTGACAAGGCAAGAGTCCCAAAGGCTTGAATTAATCACCTGGCAAGGCACAAGGTCAAGGCACAAACCAGAGGTCCAAATTATCAGTTCAAGGCAAGAAACACAACAAAGCAGGAATATGAAGTAAGACAACATTTCAGCATCAACCTTCTCTTTGGACAAGCTTAAATAGTTAATGCTGGTACAGCCTCTCATGATGGGCGAGGCTGCTGCCTCATGAGTAGCCTGGCTGACTGGCATTGTTCCTGTCACCCCTTAGCCCTGGATACCCTTTGTTTGGGGAGAGGAGGTAACTCTTCTTTCTCATCTGTGCTGGCCACTGGCAGCTGTACTCGCTTCCCACCTAGAGCCTCAGGCTTTCTTGCTGCAGCTGTGACTCCCTCTGCCTGATCTCACTGGCTGTCCATCCAGTCGTTCCAGCTGCAGTTGCTCTGTCAAGCTGAAGCCTGCTGCTTCCTGTATGCATCTCCAATAGCCCCTGGACTCACTGTTCTGTCTCCCCAGAGGTGCCACAGACTGGCTAATCCTTCTCCAAATTAGACTTTGGAGAGGAGATTGGAGGCATGTACAGAGATGCGCCCGGTAAGTCAATCACAGTGGACTATCGGGAGATCCAATAAGGGTGAAGAAATAATTACGTTTTGCCACCCCTACCACCATAAGGCAGACTCTAATAGCATGCCCAGTTGTCTTTGCTCTTTGTCTTTTATCAGCAACACTCTAGCTGCTTTAGTTCCCTCAGTTCCATCATATACTATAGGAAATATCGGGAACCATGGAGAGGCCATTTAGCCACAATCCAATCCAAAGCTACCACTGCTCTACTATTCCATTTGGTCACTAAGACTTTAGTCAGTCCGAGTACCAGCTTCTTCAGAATAATCGGATACATTGGTTGTTTGGGGTGGACCCAAGCAATGAAGGAGGGTGGCACTCAAGAATTGGAAACTTATCAATTAGTGATCTGCCTCTGGCAGAGGAGAAATTAATATTTCCCCCAAATCCATAAAGCTCTGCCATTGCGCTGATCCAAAAACCAGATAGGTATGTCACCACTACGATGAGTTGGGCCCTGGACAATTCGACAAATGGCTACTAACTTCTGATCTACCTCTGATCCTGAGGCCAGGGATGATGACTGAGGTTCTCCAGGACCATGAGTCCAGGGAACCACCAGCCCAGCCACAGAGTTGAGCAGCTCAGGTAGGGAAGTCACTATGCAGCAAGAAGGCTGGTACAATAGCAGCAGACCCAGCTGACCCTTCCTGCTGCCCAACATAAGAAATAGCATCTCACGTCTGGTAATGTGTGGAGCAAGACCCCTGAATACCTCCAAAACATCCCAGACAATCACCTTTCATATCACCTTTCCTGAAGTCAATAATATTAACTTATAGGGCTATTGTTTATTAAGTAATGCAGGAGAAGTGCTGCTTAAATCTTAAGGCTGTAGTCCTGTGTGAATATTTAATGGTTATCATTGGAGTCAGGAGTGGCTTCACATATTGCCCTTAGTCATGGTATAATTAGTTAAGATTTGCTTTGGTATGTTATCAATCCAACCAATTTGTTTTTTAAAAAACATCTGTGTTAGAATTTATATGAACCCACCAAATTATTATTTATTGAATTGCAGCTAAGCAAGCCATGGCTTAGCATGTTTATGAATACATCCATTATAGAAGTTAAACATTGGCTGATGCGATTGTGCTATGTGTAAACCCAGCTAGAGCCCTTATTCAAACAAGTAGTATAGTTTTGTACAATGTGTTAACCTTTAAAGGAAATTTCCTTTTGAATAATAACAGAATATAAATGGTATAAGTATTCAACATTTTAAACTGTTTTTTTATCCATGTTTGCAAATGAATTGGAAAGGTAAGAAAAACTGAAGTGTTCATGCAAGATACCATATTAATTCAATTAAATTCATTTTTTAATTTGTAGGATTTGAATTAATACTAGTGCTTAGCACCAAAATCATATTTAGAATTGGAGAGGAGGAAGATGGATTGAAATGACCTTTTAAATAAATGTATCTTTTGAATATGCTCTGAATAGTATAACGTACAATTTATGTATAGACAGTATGTTTTCTGATCTTCCTACATTCCTCTAGTCCCAGCTTTTTTGTTAGCAACCATTGCTAACATTTTGAGTTTGTTTTGGCCCACAAACAAAGAAAAGTTCTTTAAACAGATACATCCAAAGATATTTTTGTCAAGAATGTTGATTTGCTTTCCATACATTCTTATCAATAGTCTAGACACATGAAGATCACAGTGAATAGTCTATCATTTTTTTAAAAAAGCCATTTCCTTCCTTAAACAATGAACTTTTCATTCTGTTTCATGAAAGGATGAGCTCAGCCTTTCTCCATAAGGGAAAAAGGGAAAGAATAGAGAATGGGGGAGAAAGAGTAAAATAGATAATATTTCTTGGTGGCTCCCATCTAATCAGTAGATAAATAAAAATAACAGTGTTGCAGGAAGTAGGCACTAGTTACCCCAACACCAGGGTTGTCTAATAATGTAATTAGAAATAAAAATAATTTGGATCTATATTATGTACCTTTGTTTTTACAGAAAGCAGAAGCCACTGGAGAAAAACGACCAAGAGGCCGACCCAGGAAATGGGTAAATACTACTTTACATTTATAACTATGGCTATTTCATCCTCCAAACATAGTATTAATATAGATGGTTATGTCATTTTTATTTGTTTAAATTCATTGCTATTTTCTACTTAATTCATCTCCTAGTGGATCCTAACCTGGCTTTAATTATTGATATACTTAGTTAATAGCCTGGATTCACACCATATTCTAGGGCACTGCATGAGGCCAGTTTCAGAAAGCTGCAGACAGCAGACAGTAATATCTGAAGTGGAAGAGAGAATGGTAGTTCCAGTCTTAGAGTAAATCATCTCCCATCTTCCTAGTATATACATATACATTCTCTATATTTGTAGATTAACCTTGCCTAATTGCCTCATCAAATTTGTTATATCACAACTGCAAGACGTCTGTTAATTATACTGGCTGGGAACCCTAGGATCTGTAATCCAAACACATTTGGGTAGAGTAGATTAGGAAGATAGATGTTTGTAGGGAATACAAACAGCAGTTCTGTGTGCCTGATGTTGCAGCCTTTTTGTGCTCCTGGTTGCTATAACGTATTCTCTTCATCACTATCCCCAATCATACTCTAACTTTCTTAGAGATCTTTGGTGGCCGAAGCATGCTCTTCTTTGTGGCTACCGCATTGGTAGTAGGAGGAAAAGACCGGATGTTTTGTTACCTCTTCAGCAAATAGTATGGGTAGTATACAGATTTTGTGATAATAGATACTAGATTGCACATGTCATTGTATATGTAAATATAGGTACATAAAGTGGTCTGCGGGAGCTAATTAATGTTTTTTTTTACTGGACCTCTGAAAACTGCAAGCACTGCTCAATGAAGGTGTTGAAAGAAGGCTCGTGAAGAGTAACCACGGTTTCCTACCTTTAGACTCTAATTTGCTCAGAGACTTTTCTTTATTTATTGAGTGGAAATAGTTGTGTGAGTCTATATCAGCATAAATGAACCTCAGCTCTTGCTTTTTTAAAAAAGAGAATGAGATAGTTCGTTGGGTAATTCAGTTACAAAGGTTAAAGGGGGGTTTATCCGACATCGGAAAGTGATTATGAAAGAGGATAAAATTCAAACAGAGTATGCAAAGATAAGGTTAATAAACAAAACTCCTTTGTTTCTTTCCATAGTGTCCAGGGACAACTCTGCCTCAGAGTTAAGAAACTCATACCAAACAAATCATTGGTTTATATTATTTATCCTCTTTGGGCTATCTCAGAAAAAATTGGCTTAAGCAAAGTGAACTTGGGTTTTCAAGCCATTCTTTAAATCAAGGTTTACATCTTCACAACAGTGTAAAATTGTTGCATAATTTTTAAAGTAGGGATAGTGTAGCTAAAGCAGATGTGTTTATTAAGTTTAGTTTGGGTTCATTCTCTCACATGCATCCTAACATCCTATCAGTAGAGTTTAGAATTTTGCTTTGTGGATGCTTGATTCAGGGCATATTAGTCATGTCAGAGCCATTCCTGTCACTATAGCTTCTTTTGTAGCACAAACTATTGCCATTGTCCAAATAGCGTGGGGAAATCTAAAATAACATCTCAACAGGCAGGTAACAGCTCCACCATTCCTCTTATAAAACGAAGAGGAGCTTATAGCTCTAAAAGAGGAAGTTTCTTCGGGATATCAGATAAAGTGATAGGACAGACAATGACAGTACACACAGATTTTCCCCTGACATCTCCATGTTAAAACTTGATTTATCAAAAAGTAAGAGTCAAAATGCTGCAATTTTTCTTCCAAGTTGAAGCCAAGAATTACAAATCACTGGGAGAAGAATGTCTGCGTTAATATGTAGACTCCTAATCATTGTTAAGCTCTCTGCCAAGACTTCAGCTATTGTTTTTTTTATTTGTTAATTTATTTACCAGAGTTTAAGAAGGTACATATAAAACTAATTAAAATTAGGTTAAATCTTACTTAGTTTTGTCAAAGCCAATGCATTTTTTTGTTGAGAGTACAGTCCTTGTTATGTTACTCAAAGCGGAAGCACAACTCCCAGCCTAAAAAAACCCTATGTGCTTGTACTCTAGACCAGGGCTTTTCAACCTTTTCACAGATTGTACCACTTTTAGGACATGACAATATTTGAGTACCACCATTGCTTAGCAAGATGTCAAAAACTTGATGACTAAAAAGGGCGGGGTTTGGGTTTTACTGATTAGATTTATTTATAGAAATGGCTAGTTTATAATATTATGGAAAAGTAAAAAGTTGAGGTTCAATGTTAATGCTTCCTTCTACTGCAGCAGAGGAAGCCTGTTCTTTTTCCCTTCTCCCCTTCACTTTCCCCCCTTTTTCCTCCCCACTGTGTCCTACTATTTGCTTTTGTATTTTTGTATTTTATTCTATAATCTAATAAAATATTACAAACCATAGAAAAAAAGGAAAAAAGTACCAGTTTTAATTTCTTTGGTGGCTGTTCCTTTGCTGAATCACTTTCCCTTTGCACTGACAAATATATGACAAATTTATCCATGTTTATTAATATGCACCATTACCAGCTAGCTCAGCAGTCTTCAAATTTGGCACTTTTAAGACATGACTGGATGAGGAATTTTGGGAGTTGAAGTCCATAGGTCTTAAAGTTGCTAAGTTTGTAGGCCCCTGAGCTAGCTGGTCGGCCCTTCTTCCTCTCTCCCTTCTGAGCTCTTTCCACAGTGTAGTAAGAATGCAACCCCCTCCCAATCCCTTCCCTGTACCCTTAAAGACACAGGAATCAAGTGCAAAGCAAGAAAGGCTCACATAATAAAGCAACACATAAACTCTGATTTTTTTTCTTTAAGCTGCCTCTGGCATGTCAGGGGTCACAATGTTGCAATCCGAGACTCTGGCAATTGCAAAAAGCTTTAGCCTTAAATTAAGCCTGTTTACCTTCAAAGAAAACTTTCTAAAAGCCATAGACAGACTCAAAATAAGGGGGTAAAACTAATTATATTTGTTTAAAGGGATTAAACCTATGGAAGTTAACACTTTGAACTCATTGCTAGCCTAAAATATAGACTAAAATATTCCAATAACTAAAGCACACAAAGGAGCCTCTGGATTACAAAATGCTATAAAAACTGTACAAAAATCCTTATAGTAACCCAATCAAGCTGCCAGCTGATCCAGAACTAAATAAACCCACCTCCTTTCCGACATGCTGGCTTTTCATTTCATCAGTGCTGATTGCATTCTCCTGGCTGGAGAAAATGAAACAGGGGACCTTTTCTTCCAGCAATAGCTGCTGCTTCTTCCCTGTCCCTGTTTCCTCCCTACCTGCTGACCTCTCCTTCTCTTTCCCTGTTGTCTTTTTTTCTCTTTCCTGCCCAAACCATCTCCTTTTATAGCCTCTCCTCTCCCCCCCTTTTCTTCAGTTCACCTCCAGCTCCACGCTGCTTCCGGAAGTGCCAATCATCTGGAGCCCTACCAGCTCCTGGGGCTTCTGCCGAGCCCAGATAGTTCTGCAGCTGCCTCTCCTTCAGGCTTGGGTTGCTTCAGCTCATTCCCCTCCCTGCTACACTTGGCTAGCAGTCGCATACCACCTGCCACGTGGCAAAGTACCACAGGTGGTACATGTACCACCGGTTGAAAAGCCCTGCTCTAGACTAGAGATGAGATAACACACATAGAATGGGACTGTTCTCCTATTTTATTCCACCTCAACAATCATATATATGATACTGTTTAATAGTCTGGTTTTAAAAATAATGTTTAACAGTATATTGAAATATTCTTTCTGGAGAACAAAAGGACAATGTATGAATTTTGTAGTTATTTCGGTTTGTACCAATAAATGGAGAAAATATGCTTTTATCAAACTGATAGATGCAGACAGACTTTTCTATACAAAGATGATGATGATAATTTGTTAAAGTTATATGCTGCCTGACTCCCTGTGACTCCAAATGGTTTACAAATTATTAAAAACCTTTAATACAATAAAAAAATACCAAAGCAGCACAAAATGAAAGAACATGGCAGAGAAATAAACTGGGGGGGGGAGGGAAAAAAAGCCTGCTTTAATATCATCAGCTGTAATCTTGAAAATCCTTTGTGAACTACAGTACTCCATTTATAACATAATTTTCATACACAATCATGCTGAACAATTATTTGAATGGATTAGCTTTTTGAAATACATACTCTTTCACATAAATTTATAATATTTTTACAAATAATTTAAGGCGGCAAACATATATCACCTTCCTCCTCATATTTTTCCCACAACAACCATGTGAGGTGAGTTGGGCTAAGAGAGTGTGACTGGCCCAAGATCACCCAGCTGGCTTCTGTGACTAAGGTGGGACTTGAACTCACAGTGCCTTGCTTTTTAGACTGGCCACTAGACAAAACTGGCTCTTATTGCCACACTGTAGAATAGAAATAGCTTATCCTCATGTTGAGCTATCAATTGATGATGTATATCAATTATTGAGGAGCTGTATTCTATCTTTTTTTTTTTCTTTCTTAAATATTATGAAGCACCCAGAGAATACGGGGATAAAAAATTATGCCATTGTATACGTTAGTCTGAATATATAACATATAATTACATGATCCTGCCTTGAGCAGTGGGCTGGACTAGAAGATCGCCAAGGTCCCTTCCAGCCCTATGGTTCTATGTTCTGTGATTGAGTAAATCTCATTAATATAGTAATTCATTATGCATGTCAGAGCTCTCATGAGAATATGTGCATCTAAAATTGTTCTCTGCTGAAAGAGCTTAGGAAGGAGCTTAGGAAGGAGCACCCTATTTGTATTAGAGTATACAAAGAGCATTTTTACCTCCGAAAGAGGTAAGGTCTTATTTTCAGGGGAGGGTTGTCTTTTCCACTCACCTCCAGCACTGACAGCCCCCGCCCATATGGCCCACTTCTTCTGGGCCGTAGGAGCAGCTTCATTCTGCAGCTGAAGATGTGGGCCAGCGAGGAGAAGCCTGGCTGCAAGGTAAGTGGGTGCGGGGCGCGTGGGGGAGCTCCACCCCCCACCCCCGCCCTAGCTTGATTTTTAGGTGTG